AAATAGGTTGTTATCTCTAACAAAAAGCCTGATGAGAAATACCAAGAAAAAAAGGTTTTGGTAGAAGAATTCATATCTGCTAGAACTGACTGGCTCTGGATTCTCAGAGTGTTAAGAAGAATTGGTTCTTCCTTCATTATGCCATTTGATTTGTTCATATAAGTAAATTAACCTAATCATTCTATAAAACATTATTGATATGTTCCTTCATAATGCTTAGAGTTAATGCTTGTTTACTCTCTCACTGTGACAAATTAGACCACCTACTCAGACACTGTATTTATTACTGAAGGAACACACATGGAGTGCTAAAAGCCTGTGGTAATACAACTGCAATATTTAGTTGCCTTTCCAGGCAATAATCTTGATAGCTAAACAGTTTAGTTCCCCCTCATAAAACCAGAAGGAATATAACAGAGAATCCTAAATAGTTAGCTGAGGAAAAAGAATAAAGGAGAACCTATAATGGAATTTTCCCAAAGCTTAACAGTAGCACTGATCAACACCACCATGAACTAATAGTGGACACTGTGTATTCCAGTCTTTATGTGCTGCTTTTTAGCAAAGGTGTTTGAACAAAAGCTAAAAATAAAGACCACACTGCAAAAAAGCAAACTCTGCCCTTCAAGTTCAAAGAGCTTTTCATTCAGCAGAAGACACTCATAACACGTGGCTTGAGCCCACAAACGTGTCTAGGGAGAAAGCCAAGTCAGGTCCTCTGTTTTCATACATTTATTCAGAAATGTTTCCAGTGCCCTAAAAGGATTTTTTTTTTCTATTCAGTTAGTGGTTTAAAAATAGTTATTATTCCATTTTTCCACATATTTTAACCTCTGTTATTCTGTTTCACCACACTGAAGTTGCTCAAATCCCTGATATCCCACTGAGCTGATCTGCACCCAAAATTTGATATGAGTTCCATCCATCCTTGGTTTCATGTATTTATACACAGGTTACTTCATTATAGACACAGCAGCCTTACAGATAATTAACACAAATAAGGAGGTAATAAACACACATGTAAATCTTCATTTGATTAAGTTCTTGTGCTCTGACAAGCAAGCATGGATTGTATCAAAAGCATTTTTAGGCCAGCGTTTCAACTGCTGCATTATCAGAGATTTATCCAACATCAAACAAGTTGTGCAAATCAACACACCTGAAAATTCAGATCTATCTCAGCCTTTAATAACATATGACAGCAACAAGATCAAGACACAAAACCCTGCCTGTGGAAAAAAAGATAAAAAATGGAAATGCTCAGGAAAAGGGGAAAAAACCCACCACCACACAACAGACACTAATGTCATGAGTACTGCTTGCTGTGATGGCACAACATAGACAGATTTTACTAAAACTGCTCAGCATGAAAAACAACAACTCCATACAAATTCATCTGAGTATTTTTGAATGGACAGGACTTCAGATCCTGCCTGGCAACAGTTGCTCAATTATGTGTTACTTTTATTACACACAAGACTTGGCAGCAGCAGAGAACGTATGTCTGGGACAGTCCTCAAAAAATTTACTAACACTTCAAGATACACAGGCCAAGTTACAATATGGAGAGATCCTTAAAATAGTTCATTTTGCATGTAATTATTCACTGATAACAGAGGGAGCAGAGTGAAGTTTGAGATTCGGTGATGAATTAAAGCCAATTGCCTCTTTCGTACAGTAACAAATTGTAAAACCAACATCTCTGTTGATGTCCTGCTGCCAAAAGGATGTTTCAACAACAACTGTGTTACCAGGAAAGTCTTACATCACTAAGCAATTTGTAGCTCTACACTGGAAGTATCATATGAAAACAAGCATCCAGCTTCCAAAACAGCCTCAGCACACATCCATTCCTCAGGCAGAGGAAAAATAAATGCCGGCGTTAAGATCCCCTTTTCTTTTCGACTGTGCAACCATTTAATATTCCCCACACCAGTGTTAACCAAGTTCATCACAAAAGCCAACTTCTGTCCTGTGTTTGCCTGCAAGCACCAAACTATAATTAGATGCCCAAATGATGAACGATAGGCAGATACTTGTATCAGTTCTTGAGGCTTGACCAGTTCTTGACACAGTATAATATCCTGAAAGGAGTCACCACTACTTCATATCGAATGCATTGAAAACAAGCAATGAGAAATAAAGGCACATCAAGTCAAGAGCCTTACTCAGTGTCAAAATCTGTTCTGATTTAAGAAACTGTTAGACAAAACAACATCCACATTTATTCTGAAATCCTACATTGCGATTACCACACCAGCATTTTGAAACATCAAGACTCATATCACAGCCAAACCACGAAGGATAATGACACAGACACATAACTCCCACTCTTACAGAGCCTTCTGCTTCCAACAGCTTCACTGAGCTCGGTGAAAAAATAGCAACGGCAAAACAAGGAAAACGGAAATAATAAAACTTCAAAATAAGCGAAACAATAAATCTCAATATGCAATAGCCGTCTTTCCACCTTCCCAAAAGGCAGCTTGGTCAAGGCTCCTTTCAGAGCATCTCTCTGGAAACACTGACACCTCTGCAGGGAGGCTGCCGATACCCCCGCACAGGAAGGGTTTACGAGCGACAGAACTCCAGTGCATGGAAAGGGAGAGGAAACAGCCGAAGCACTACAGCACTCACATATTAATGGAACTACAGGAGAGCTGCGAGCCGACCGCCAGAGCCCAATCCCGCATTTCAGGGAGAAGGCAATGAGAGAAGAGGAAACAGAAAGGGAGAAAAAAAAGTTTCCCCGTCTCTCCTTCAAGCAAATGTAAATTTGTTCATTAGATCCTCAGCCTTTCAGGAACAGTTACATAAAAATATGTAGAATGGGTAATGCCTAGAATAGGATTCCTTCCACTCGGAGAGGCTTTGCCGGATGAACCCTGAGACGGAGGGAGGAGGCCGGCGCTGCCTCCCGGCGCACAGAGACTCCGGCCGGCTGAGCCCCGGGCTGGGGCTGCACCTCCCCAGCCCGCCAGCCCTGCCCGCTCCGAGGGGCTGCTCCGAGGGGTCCGCAGCTCCGCCGCACAGCGCCGGCAGGGCGGGAGGCGGACGGGGTTTGTGTGCCATGAAATGGTGGATCTGCCTGTCAGGCACATTTCACGATACGGAGCGATCGTGAGCCCCTGCAAAGCGCAGCCGGGCAGGGAGAGCGGGCGGGCAGCGGGACCGGCAGCGGCAGGGCCCGCAGGGCTGTCAAGCCCCGCCGCCTCCCCCCGCCGGGCCGGGCGGCCCCAGCACGGCCCCCCCTCCGCCAGAGCCGTACTTACGTGAAAACAAAAAATAAAGTAGTCGAACCCACTAATAAGGCAGCTGCAGTGGAGACCGGGATGTATTTAGTAGGTTTAAACCTCTTTCCAGTGCTGCTGGGCATCCTGTAGCTTACACATCACTGTGTAAATCCAACCCGAGAGGAGGGCGCCGGGAGGATGCGGGTCCCTCCGGCGCGGGGAGAGCGGGACCCGGGCGGCAGGGAGGGACGGGAGAGGGACGGGAGCAGCTGACCTCCAGCACAGGAAATCCCACCCACACCGCCCAGCCCACTCGGCTGATGTCAACCAGCCCCTTAAGGTAGCGCTGCGGGGAGACGGCGAGCGGGGCTGCGGGAGCTCCCGGGGCGCCGAGCGCCGCCGCCCTCCCGGCAGCGGGCAGCCCCTGCGGACAGCGCGGGCCGCTTCTCTCCTTGTAGCAAGAGAAAAAGGCGATGTCTGGAGCTCCCTGTGCGGGACACGACAGCCCTCGCAGAGCTCCCTGCACAGGGAGGAGGCGGTGCAGCCGCTGCAGCACCGCGGGCCCCGCAGGGAGCGGGCCGGGGGTCCCTGCGGGACGGGGGGTCCCTGCGGGCCGGGGCCGGCTCGGCACAGACCGTGCGCTGCAGCTCTGCCAATAAACCCTGCCTTTCATTCTGCCAAACACGGGGTCACGGTATTAGGGGGACTGCTGCACTCTGCCAAATTTAACCGATTCCAAAATTAATAACTGAGCGCGAGCATAACTGAAATGGCACTATGCTCTGTGCTTTTTAAATCTGTCCATTAGCATCAGGAGGCAGACAGAAGAGGTAATTTAAGGTAACATCAGGAAGTTCACCGAATCAGCATTCTCGAGAGCAGTGTGTGAATGGCTCCTCTGTTCATGCTCGGGGCACCACCCAGCCTTGGTCAGGACGAAACCCTCGCATGGGGAGAGCGGTCCAAGGCCACCGGGAAATTTAGAAATCCAGACCAGGAGCTGCAGCTTGCTCCCTCCCTCAGCTAATCCCCCTTTGGCAGCTGCCAACACGCAGATAAAGTAACCACTTCGTAAGACAACAAAAGCCACATTTGCAGCGTCTGCTGGTTGTTAAAAGCAAGCTGGCCCTAGAAGGTATAGAAGGTATCCACTGCGGTTCTCTTCTGAAAGGACGTTACCATTTCTCATTTCAAGAGACTCAATTAGTTCCCCTGTTCTAGGGTCTTAAGAACTGAACAAGTAAAACCCAACCAAAAAGCCATAGGGGTCCTCAACTCTGCAGTTTGCAAAAAAAAAAAAAACCAACAAAAACTGTGAGCATCAGCATTAACAAAGCCAGCCAGTTCCAGCCTAGGACATATGGCTGTGTGAAATCTCAGCTTTGCTAACAACTGCCCCACTTCAGAAAAAAAACAAAAACCAAACCACCAGAGGAAAAAAATATATTCTCTAGCCCTCTAGAATAACTTTAAAAATGTCAACTGAAAATGAACACCAGACTTAGATTTATGAGGATAGGGAGGGACAACATCTACCCAAGTTATTTTTAAATGCTTGGGGGACATTGAATGTTTCCTATGCTTCACTACTCCTTGTCATGCCAGCTTATTGAAATTAATTATTCTTAAAATCCGTGTAACTAATCAAAAGGTCAACAATTTCACACAGAACCAGGCTCTGCATAATAATAATCCGAAAGCCTTGAGGCACAGCTAGCTCCAGGAGCTGGATCAAAAGCATCCTTGGGAAGCAAGTCTCTCACTTACCAGGTTTGATGGTATTGCTGAGAGATCTCCAAGGAGGGGACTGGGTTCCTCTTCAAAACTAGGCTGGAAGATCCATCTCAGGAGCACTCAGGTCAGGAGTTACTTTAGCACCACTTGCATGACAAAAAGCAGAGACTTTATCACTTAAATCAGTTCAAGCCCCTTCCTCCTTCCCACTCAAGCAACAGTCTTAGTGAAGAATTTTAGTTGCAAACAGAACTCTGATTAATTTTCCACTGATATTTTAAACTGGAAAATATTATCCTAAGCAGCATTATAGACCAGTTTTGATGTTTGGTCAGCATCCTGTAATGGACAATTACTCAAATGCATCTTAGGGCTTGAAAAACTTCTCTCCCAAGAGAAAAGTCATATCTGCATTTTTAGCATGGACATGCCCATTTCCTTTCTAGGTGAGCCACATAAGCATCCTGCCAAGTTTCTAGCAGGAGCTGGGAAGCAATAAGCACAAGCTCATTTTAAGATACATATTTGAAATTTGATGATTTTAGATTTCATTATCTGTCAAAGCCCTTCTGGGACAGTAACATTCCTTCATGTGAATACAGGAGTTATTCTTAAGACTATGCCTAATCCACACTTTCAGTTGTCTTTTCCCACTAGGATTCCTCCCTGTCTAGAAAGTCTGTCAAAGGCAGCTTTGCAGGTGGGGAGGATTCAGGGCTTCTGCTCGTTCCACCCCTCAGAATGGATTCCCCCCTTCACTCTGACACACTAATGCTGATCTTGCTGTATCTGCCCCTATTTGGGGGGCCAGTCTTTCAAGCCACTCCTGAAAGGAGGTTCTCAGCAGCAACTTGGGTCTTTTTTTTTATCTCCTAAGCACACAACAGTTCTATAGATGAAGACTAAAGATAAAACTGTGTGAGTACGTGGAGCCAGGGCACAAAGAATTGTAGCTTTCACAGCAACAAGAAGGGGCACTTCTCCAAACTTCAACTGATCTTGAAGAACACTGTGCCAGCCTGGGCTGGGCTGCACAACCATCCTGTGGATGCCAACCTTGTGCTGTGCATGGTGCAGGACCAGCACTGCCAGGAGGGGGCTGAGACAGTCTCTGTTACAAGTCTACAGGGCTATGCTGAACAGCACCCTGAGATGACTTTTTTCTGCTGCACATCACAGATTAACTATCAGAAGGCAATAATTTTCTGTAATTTGGTGTCCAGCAGTTCACCTCCTTTCCTTCCCACTAACACTCCAGCTCTGGAGAACAGTCTGTTTTCAAGCCAGCATAAAGCACTGCTGAGCAACACTCAACCTCAGTGCTACAAGCCAAGTGGATTTAAAGCCATGAGATGACTTTACCAGTCAAAGTGTGGGGATGTCTGAGGAGGACTTGACTAAAGCAGAACCGACCTGTCTCAGAGTTGCTCTCCTGGAACACCTTTATTTCAAGGACTGCAGTTTCTGGATTGACACTACCTTATCGGTGTGCCAGAAGGTTTTGGCAGCACTGAGGTAAACAGCAATGGCAGCATGAGCTAGGGAAAGATTTAATGACTACACAAGGAACAAATACAGCTACAAAGAGCAATCTAAAAATAATCTGGCAGAGCATGGCTAGTAATTGCATGTCTTCTTGCAAGATTTTACTCTGAGGTTTTACCCCAAATGAGAAAGGGCCAACCACAGAAGCTGTGCTGGAGCCACGTGGCAGGGCACCACCCAGAGCTGGGCAGATGAAAGGGAACTCCCAGCAGAGCAAGCATCAGGAAAGCTTGATTGCCGTGCAATTTTCATATCAAATCATGGTACTAGTATTAGCTGGAAATCTCAGCTACATGGTTAAGAAAATTCTTTTATTTTGCACACTTGAAAGTACTGAAAATCCCTGGAATATTTTATCAGTCACTATGCAATTTAGCTCCTAGCTCATATTTGCTGTTGTCGTTAAACACCGACCTCAATAAATAACTGTAGTTTTCTTACTGGATTTGCTTACTACATTAAATGCATTTGCCAGCCCACATAGTACTGGGGACCTGCAAACTGTTCAGGGTCACTGGGAGAACCCTCAAGGATCAGCAACTAGTTGGTTAGGAAAAGCTATTTTTCCTTCAAATTTGCAGTGCTCAGAACATTTGGATCATCTTGTGCTGCCCAGTCCTGCCAAAAAGTCCAAGCAGGGCCAGATAGTTCTGGGTACAAGCCAGACCTACTAAGTTACCCACTGGAACTTTAGTATGACAATTTTCATTTAGTTGTTCATTTCTTACCAGACAAATAAAGAAATTATTGCCTAATAATGCCTTTTCAGTGGCCTAAACAGATATCCCACAAAGTTTTCTAGAGTTTTCCAATAGATATTTTCCATGGAATAGCATTTGTGCAGAATTTCCCAACTGCACTGAGGGGGCACTGATTGCATTTACTGTGAGACTTTGAAACCCTACAGACTGATTCCTAAATGATCCCCACAAGAAACTACTTACACCACAATGATCAGAGAATCAGCCAGGTTGGAAAGAACCTCTGAGATCATCAAGTCTAACCCTTCATTTTTTTTTAATTTTTTTTTTTTGAAATCCAGTCCGGGTTTTCCCCCATTCCATACTCTAGAAAAATCCAGTCCAGGTTTTCCCCTTTTCCCCACTCCATTCCATACTCTGGAAAAATCCAATCCGGGTTTTAATCACACTCCATTCTGTATTCCAGAAAATCCAGTCCAGATTTTCCCTTCCCCCACTCCATTCCATAGTCTGACCAAAGTCCGGTCCTGGTTTCCCCTTTTCCCACTCCATTCCGTACTCCGGCCAAAATCCAGTCCGGGTTCTCCCCCATTCCACACTCCGGAAAAATCCGGAGCCTCCAAACATTTTGAAGATTCACCAACCATCCCGTTTAAAACAATTACTTGAGTGTAATTGTCCTCCACGAGAATGAACTGCCACTCTAAATGATGCTGCTGAAACTCTGGAAGCCAACAGTGTTCATACACCAGCAAACAAGATATTCAAACTGATAAGCACTGCTTGTATGAAGCAATGCAACTTGAATTATACTGGGTAGTCTTGAGAAATATCCTCATCACCCGGGGAAAAAAAAGTCATTTACAGTATTAAAACACAATAAACTGTGGTGTTGGCAATTTCTTAATGGGACATTTAGGATCACTAATACAAGCTTATTCCTGGAGGGAAAAAAAAAAAGAACCCAACACATTAGTGTAGTCTTCAAAATCATTACCATGGGATTCCGAGGGAACTGGTTTGAATTCATTGCTGTAAGCAGCCTTCTTTAACTGCCTGCTAAGAAGATACTATTTTGACACTTGTCAAAATTTAATGATTTCAAGGTTAAATTCATTACTGAGGTGTCCTCAGATACTCACCCATCCAGTTTTGTGCAAACAAACCCATCAGTACCTCTAAAAGCTGGGGCACTAAGCCTGGCCTGGAAAGCATCTTTCTAAGCCTCTCAAGCAGAGGATTTTTACAAACTGCAGACTTCAGCACCTGCCAATGCTTTATGAACCCTCTGTATTTTCCTTCTTTACTGAAAATAGATTAAAACCTTTAAAAAATCTGCAGTTGTACCTTCTGTAAGATTCATATTCTCAATAACGCCGTTACTGAAGTTGGAAATGCTTAAAAGGACTTTATCCAGCTGCATCAACAAAGCTATATTCCCCACTATTTTAGTTTAAACACGCTATGAGTTACCTTGCCTCACTGGGAGTAAAAAAGAAAGTTGCCACTGTTGAACTGCAGGTGTTAAAACAGCCTAGAATCAAATTTGCCTCTAAAATCCTAGAGACAAAGTCTCACCACACTCCTCTGAACTGCAGAAATTAGTTGAATTTCTGTGCTGTGTCTGAACAGTGAATTAGAGCAATTTCTGTGTGATCTATTTTTACTGCCACAAGACTTTCAAACAGGTTCAGACATTAATCACACTGAAGTTATTGCCATTTCAGAAACAAGTACAAGGCAACTGATGTATTTGCGCCCCCAAATTCCAGAGGGAGCTTTTGCACTACAAGCCTACCTTTCTGTCAAAGGACTAGTGCAGTTCTGGAGCCAAGTTACTGCCTGACAAGGCAGGGCAGGTTCTGTCAGCTCAATATCCCTGTCAACAGTGAAGATGGGGGGAAACCATGAATCCCTGGTGACCTGGGCAGGGGGACGAGACAACACTGCATCAGCTGCAACTGGAGAATACTCAGTACAGAGTAAGCTACAAAAACATTTCAAGGACTCCTCGTGCTGGTTTACTTTACATATAAGAAAGCTGATCATTAGAACCACTTGCACGAAAGTCCTGTTTCTCTGAGATCAATTTTAAAAATACTTACTGCTTTTTAAGGTGTAGAACAGCACACCTATGGCTTCTAAAGTGAGCAGAACTTTGCCTGACCATCCTTTACTTTAGGGGACTACAACATTCTTCAGCCAAATGTTATCCAGAGAAATCAGTTCACTTAGTGGTCTCTCATAACTTTGCTCTTTGAGACTGCAGACCTGCAAGGATGGCTCCAATCCATGAACTGTAAACATGGATCAATCAACCTAAACAGGAATGGAAATGTCTTGAAATCATTTAAGCATGCATAAAAAAAGAGGGGAAGAAGAGGGTAATAACATTAAGCAGGAATCATCAATATCTAATATCAAGACAAATTAAGTAATTCAGGTGTTGCCTCCCCTCTCCTGTCCAGTGTTTGACAGTGAAATCCAACTCACCCATTTTGCTGCCTTCATCACTTTGCCCCTGTAGATTAAAAATGCATTCCCAGGAAGAGTTCTTAAAACAACAAGCAAATCCTTTAAATGAAAATTTAAGTTTATTTTGAATTTTTAAAATGTCATTTCTATCAATTTAGACACACTGTTTGACATTATCAGATCAGAGAATTTACAGTGACTCATGGATAAAGATTTGGCTTTTACATTCAAATGTTAAATACTTCAGAGTAGCTTTGTCTTGTTATTTCCAAACCAGAAACACTAAGGAGCATTTTATTTTGCCTTTCAACCACCTTTGTTAATTAACAGACTTTTGATATCTGCTGTACTTGAAGGGGAATGTGCAAAACACCAAAGGAATTACTCTGTTTGAATGAAGTGAGTACCTTAATTACAGTTCCAGATTTAAGACTCATTCATGGTAGCATTAAAAGACAGTGCTAAAACATGATTTTTTAAAAATATATTTTCCTCAAGTAGGCTGCAGAACCTGACCAAGTTAAAAGCCTCTCCATGAAGATAAAAAGGTCTTGCTATCCAACATTAACATCACTCAGTCTTACAGTTTAGCAGGTTTTGTCTGGTTTTCATTAATTATTTTGGAAACTATTACAAAATTTCATCACTATCCTAACACAATCCTTGTATTAGTGTTCAACAACGAAGTTCATTTCATCTATCAGACTTAATTGTGTTGATTTTATTGCTTACTATAGTTTATCTTCTTACTCTAGCACTACCTTGAAATCGGTCAAGTCTCCTCACTGCAAATGTTTGTTGTTAATCCAATTTGCCCATCCTGGCAAGGAGAGTGTCCCTCAAGCTTGTACAACTTCATTTACTGTTCCAAAGTGACTGCCACTCTCCCAGAGGGACAGCCTCCCTACCAAGCACCTGAGAAGTTCAGAACTCCTCCAGTTTGTAAGAACAATGTGAGCTCCAAAGCCCTGGGGAAAAAAAAGCTTTTCAATTTTAGCCTACAACTGCCAGGATCTGCTGACAGGGGGAACCTCACAGGAAGGTACTCACACAGTTTGGATGCCTTTGCACACACACCTCGGCAGAACAGGCTGCTGTGCCTCCAGCCAGCGAGGGGCACGGCGTGGAAGAGCTGGGACAGCAGCAGCAGCTTTCTGCTGGAATCAAGCCTTTGTAGGATTAGCAAATTTGGGGCAGGGGGGAAGCACAGGTTTTGTTTCTTAAGAGGAAAATCCTTGTCAAACCTCACATAATGCATTTTCTCCCCCACCTTCACTTTCCCTGTCTGATGGCTCAGCACCAAGTGTGCCAGGAAGGCTCTCAGTGCCCCATTCCCTGGCACATCCCTGCCCAGCACACACACAGCACAGGGAAAGCTCTGCTACATCACACTTGGAGAAGCCAGACAAGAAACACGAATGCATCCTGACCTTCCCTGCTGGTAAAAGTCTGTTAACCTGCTAAATCCACAGGAATGATGATATGTAGCTTCACACCCAAGGAAACAAGTGTATTCACAAGCCTTTACAGTTCTGCCCCTGATGCTGTTTTCACGTTTGTTTTATTCACTCTTTTGGATGACTATAAATGTTTCCACTATGGAAAAGAAAGTTAGCACAGTACATTTTCATGACTGGGGAATGGATTTTTCTGAAGACACCTTCCAAAGGGCAAAAGCTTAGAAAAAAACAACCTGAATGCTGATCTGTGTTCCTTATAAAGTCCCTTGTAAAAAAAATTTAAAAAAAAACAAAACCAAAAAACCAACAAAACAAAACAAAACAAAAAAAAAAAAAAAGGAAAAGAAAGAAAAAAGTAAAGGAAAAACTGCAAGGCCCAGGATGATTTTATTGCTTTTCTTCAGTTTTTTCCTTGGTCTCCTTCTTCTCAGATTCTCTGCTTTCTTCCTTTACAGAAAGCTCTTCTAGTTTTTCAGCAACTTTATCAGCACTATCATTTTTGTCTGTGCCTGCTAAAAGATTGATTAGGAAAAGTGTTACATAGAGGCAGTAATGGATTTTCCTGTTACAGGGGAAAGAGTAGAGAAGTGGAGGGTGAGGGGAGGGGAGAGACAGCTGGTATTCAGAATGTGAACAAAAATAAAGACATTCTCCACCGACCACTGGAGTGACTCATTCCATTTCTTTTCCTCTGGTAATTATTATCTCAGATGTCAGAGTTCAAGAAATACCACTTGCATATGTTAATCACCACGTGAGGGCCTAATTACAGGGACTGAGAACTGTGTAACAACTGGCCAGCTGTGCTGTTGCCAATGACAAGCTCCACAAGGCCCAGCTTCTTCTCATCTGACCCACAACAACCAGAAGTCAAGTTCCCCAGTCTGAAACTGAGGAACAGGAGTTCTTAAGGCTGGCAAAGCCCAGTCTAAATACCCTGAATAATGTTGATGCAGACCACAAGTAGCCTGTACTTAGAAAGGCTGGAATTATTTGATATGGTGACACATCTTGGCACACAGGCAATTCTATAAGGAGGTGCAACAATCTATTAAGAGACCTGTGAATAAATGCTACGACTTCATACACATTAACAACTATACAAAACATTAAATGTTATACTTGCATGATTATACTTTTGTGGAATTTGGGAAAGGGAACTGGGAGGAAGAAACAGGACTGTGGTTGCAGTGTTCACAGTTCATTTGTGTACCATAAACCATAAATACTTCCCTGGTATGCTTTCAAAAGAAGCAATGTCCCAACAGCAACTGTAACAGCCTTCTACAGCAAAGAAGGCCATGGTCACTGGAGTGAGCTTTACTCTTGCAGACAGAAAAGCACCTGAACTGAAGGCTGCAGTTCAGCACAGAGTGAGTCTGCTGGAACACGACACTCCAGGGCACTGTCACCACTCACACAGCTGGAAAACTGAGACCACCTTACCTTTCTTTGCTTTCTTGCCTACTTCATTCCTGCATTCTTCAAATTTTGCCTTGAATTTCTGTGCATCTGTTTCAATAATGATAAAATATTTTTTCATTAGTTTTGCTGCCTCACAACATTGAATACTTCTGATCCTGAGGGAAGACACCCAACGAGAAGCTGTGTAAACAACTTTTTTAGGGACCTCTGAAGTAATCTAGTAAATCACACAGGATGTAAAATTCTTCAATCACATCTTTGTGCAAAAGCAGTTTATTTTCTTCAGCAAGACTACTGAAGCAGTTTATTTTGCAAAATAATCAAAATGTAATGCCAGCAGGAGCTGTTTTGTAGTTATTGCAACTCCCAGCTGTCTCTAGCCTACAGGAATAGGAACATGATGTCAGAGACTGCTCACACAACTATCTGTATGCAAAAGACTGAAGATTAGCTCTGAACTACTATCTTTGTGAGCTATGTTATACACCAGGAGTCTTCCACAACCTTCCCATGACTTGGGTTCTTAGCATGACCAAGGGCAGGCAATGCCTGTTCCATTAGTACAGCACTCACACTCTGGCCCAAGGGCTGCACTCCAGCTGCTCCTGAGACAAGAGCTGAGAATGCACAACTGTCAGGATGTTTTGGTCTAAGCCAGCTGATTTAGTTACACGGATGTTTCTACACAAGTAATACCAGTACAAGAGACAAAAGAGGAATGGGCACGGTGCTTCCTAACCCCAGAGCAACAAAGGAGGTAATTCCCCGTGCCAGGCTGGGCTGGCTGCCCACACGAGGTCACTGTTGCCCCACAGGAATTCTGAAAGCACTATGGAACTAGCCTAGGATCGATTCCTTTTCAAGCATCTCAAACAGAGGAGACACTAGAAGGACACACTTCTGTCTGTTCACCTGTCATCTCCTTAGCCAGTACTGCAAGGGCAAACAGCAGGACAGGAATTCTCCCCCAGGACACAACATTCAAAAGGCTGAACAGCCTCCACCAGAAAGAGGGACTTTTCAAAGAAGATGAGCAAATAATTACCAAACCCTTTTAATTTCCTTTTTGATCATGAAGCAAGCACTAAGCAAGTGGATCAGAGAGATTTGTTTGGCTAAACAATGATGTTGGACATAAGCATGATACACTAAGTTCTTCCCAGATGTAGGCAAATTCATCTAGTTTTAGAATACACTTTATGATCCATCTAACATGTGGGGACAAAAGAAAGCTAACACACTAAACTGGTGTGGCAAACTGTAAAGCAGGAAATGCAACACTTTTTCATTTCACTTCTTTAAAAAAAACAACAAAAAACAACAAACCAAACCAACATAACCCCACACACACCCAGACACTACTTTGATTTCATCCTAGCTGATCCATAATTAGAGTTACTTTGGTGTTGTGGTACTCAGTGCAGTTACTCCAGAAAAAAAACACAAACTAGTATGATGGGTTTGACTGGCACTTTTCACTGAGAGATCCACTTAATCAAAACACAGAAGATACTACATACTTCATTTAAAAAAACCCCAACAAACATGTAGATGTTCTGCTAATGCAGATGGACCAGAAATATCAGATCAGGATTTCCCTGCTTCTAATGCAAATATCTAATCTTAGCTACAATTCAGCACCTGAGATAAATGAACACAAGCTGCATGTGAGCCTCTAAACTGCTTTTAGTTTTATTCTAATTGGCATTGCACTTGCACAAAATGGCTTAGATTAAAAAAAGTGCCTAGGGCAGAGATTGAACAAATATTCCTAAAGGCCTAATTACTACAGTGTTTGTCAACACACATGTTTAGTGATTACCAGACTCCTCTCAGATAAAGAAGCAATTAGCTAACACTGCCATGCAGGGTGGGACAGGGTATCCACAGCAGTGATTTTACAGCAGTTCAGACAGGCAGTGTGCCACAACAGTTTAAAGCAGGGTAAGTTCAGTGCCATCCACTCACTCTCTGCGTTTAAAAAGCGGATTGCCAGGAGTTCAGGCTTGGGGCACTCGTCTGCAAAGTCAGCGTGTGTGTTCCAGACCCAGGCCCTGTCGCTCCCGGCGTTGGGCTTCAGCTCCATTAAGGGTGTGACTGAAAAGAAAGCATTGGAAGATGTACAGAGCACAACTGCAAAGGTTTCCCACACCAGCCTCCAGAAATCTCACTGGCAACAGCCTGCAGTGGTTATGCAGAGCACTTCACACAGAGTTACTCTGGATAAATAAAAGACAGTGGTGCCCATATATAATTTTCCTTACATCACCAAATAAAACAATGCACCATCACTGTGTAAGAGGATTCCCTCTGTTACAAAACTGAGGGTTTGATTCAATATTTTGTTTAAAACAGATGACTGTGATACTAAGATACAGTCACTAAGCACAACTCTGATGGCAAATGATTCAGGAGGAAAAGGTATCCAAACAGACAAACAGCATTCATTCTCCCTTTACACACTGAAAATACTACCAAAAATTAGTTAAAAAAAAAGCATTATTGCTTCAATTAATCATCAAATTGAGTTAACTTCTCTGCCATCAATTTAAAGCTGTAGTACAAGGTATGACAGAGTTCTGCAGCCCTGCAAGGTGCACACAGTGTATTTTCAATCCCTTTGCTCCCTCCCAGTAAATGGAGCCCTTTCCCTCCAAGATGCTCCAATTACTTCACCTGACTGACTGGAGAAGTTCTCACACTGCTCTGAGACTTGGTGCATTCCAGACATGCAAAGTTTAGGGAGGGCTTTTTTTATCCTTGATCCCTTGGGTCCTGTTTAGTTCAGGAGAAATCTGAAGAGTCTACTCCCTTCCTTGCATTTTTAAAATCTAGAGATCAAATTACATTTTGTTCCATTCAGTGTTTTGCAAAAATGAAGAGAGTCCTTTTGTCTGCCTGTGAGTCAGCATAACTTCATTGAACAAATCTATACTGAGAGCAGCTTTTCCAGGAAAAAAAAAAACAAACAAATTTTACATGAACACTGTAAATTTATCAGTTCTGTTTTGTATATGCACATTTATTTCCTTAAACAAAAGGGTTTTTCTTGCTGGTTGGTGACTGCACTGCTTTCATATTTGCCATTTCATTTACTAAACAGGAACACCTGTGTCCTCTGAACAGTCTGACTTTCTGAAGGATCTCCCTCAAGAAAACAAGAATTACTGCTTCTGACTTGAGGTTTGTATTAAGCTACTTCTTATTTTCAGTTATCTAAATGTAGTTTAACTCCACAGAACACTATATACTCCTCCTATAAAAATCTGACTATTACCAAAGCAAGCAACAAAGTATTATCAAATTAATCTACTTGTTGCAAGTTATGCTGACTTTCAAGTATGTCCTACACTTTCATGTTCTTTTTATTCAAAGAGGATTCTTTTTTAAGTGAGTCAGCCCAATGTACCACATTCATTTCAGTTTATTTCACAAGCAGGGAAGGGCAGACAGAGATTAGTTTGGCACCTCAGTATCTGTTTTCTGATGGTTAAGGGATTGGTTCCAGCAATTCCAAGATTTAGCTCTAAGTAGTAAATTACTACATGATGGGTTTTCTCACCCTTTTACAAAAGCAAACCAGACTAAATTCATATCCCAAATAGTATTAAGGCCTGCATTTTCTATACTCTATCAATCATTAAAGTAAACTACACACAACTGGAAGTTACATAATGCCTGTCTATCCCAGCTAAATTTTAAAGTGACTTTAGTTGGTCTTAGAGCAGTATCAGAGTCTGAAGGAAAAAAATTGCAGCTTCCTTCCATTAACAAAAATAAGCCCTAATGGTTTCTGATGCTTGTGGCCTTGTGTGAAGAGCAAGAGACAACTGTATTTACAGTCTAATATAAATTTGATGTCTGTTCAGAAGATGTACAGCACCTCTGTAGCTGCTACTGAAACCCCACCGAGCTGTTAACCTCCACTGTACAGTTCTGCAGGGCCACTGTTTAAAACCAAACTAACAAGTACTGTGGTGTAGAACTCACTATAATGGTTTGCACAGATTTTGAGAGTTTTATCCCTCCGCATGAGGAGGCGAATTGTTCCCTTCTCCTTGTGTTTCAGGAGTTTCACATCCCCAGTCCCTCGCTCCTTCCACTCGGGATGCTCGTTCTCGGACGCGAACCGGAACAGCTTCGCTCGCCTGCAGGGAGAGACAATCTAATTACTCTGCATGCAGAAACAGCTGCTGAAACCTCACAGCTGACTGAACAGCACAGTGGTTTGGAAAGCCACACATCAGAAGAAAACAATTCCTTTTACAAGGGTCTCTGTTCTAATTCATCACACAGATTTAGAAACTGATGGGATAAATTAAACTTTAATAATAAGCTATTAGAAATGATGTAATGACTATATTAAAATCCAGCAGGTTCTGGACACTCTTTGAGATGACAAACACATTTGGTTTAGGTAACCTTTTAAATTCAGGGAGCTAATTAACAGGTGTTGCTATAGCCAGAGTTCTTACATATAGGTACAACTGCTTCATCTTCCCAGCAATAGTAATTCACAAAATTTAGCAGCCTAATGCTAAGTAGAGACTCTTGTAAAATTCCAAGCCCAGTGTTTGATCAGCTATTAAAGTGCCTCACCCTCTAGAGTCACTCATTTCCCTTTAACTCCAAAAGCCTACTTGCTGCTCTCCTTCAATCAGGAATAAAGTGGAACATGTCTGCTTCAGAGCATCACTGCTGAACCTTCCAAGATGCCAGTGTGCCAGAGGAGAAACAGGAGGAGTTTGGGATATTGGCCAAAACCGAGCCAAGACACAGCCTGAGCTCTGCTAGTGAGGAGTTCAAGACACTGGTATAGCACAGGAGGCACCTGCTCACACTGCAGGGCAGATACACAAATGCAAGGGAGAGGCACTTGTAATAAACCAGGGGCTTCAAGAGAAAGTGTCAGATGCTGGAGCATCTACTCTGACAGAGGCTCTGACTCACATTAACTACTTGGACCAAAGCAAGTCATTCCTTCCAAGTCCAGCTGGCATTCAGCAGGTTATTCCCCAAGTTTAACTATCAGAACCACCAGCATTCACTAAAAAAGGACTCCTTTCCTCCATCACCCCTTTGCAGACATGAAAATTAACCTACAGAACACCAGAACTTACACTGTTATTTCACTACCACGATCTTTTAAAATACAATAATTCTTTAAAAAATCCTTCCATGTGATGCTGGCTCTGACAAGCAGAGAGGCCAAAGGGTCAGAGATCTCACCATGTACCTGTCAGAACCTGACGAGCACTTGAGTTATTACCAGCATCTGTGTAAGGAGAACTCAAACCTCTTTTCCAGATGAGCAATACCATTCTGTGATTAAGTAAAACCAGTATTTTTTAAACCTATTTAAAGCAAGCACATCAGGGATCAAACTCAAAACACTTCTTAAGCCTTTAGGCTACACTTTTCTTCAGGCAGATCAAGCTATCCTGATTTGACACTAAGCCCAATCTAGGGATAAAACTATGTTTTAGACAAGAAAGAGGTACTGCCACAAATGCCCCAATGCTGCATCTATTGCTTTTATTATTTCAGTACCTTGTGCATCACCCTCTACCTGGGGATACATGGCAGCAACTCCATATACATCTCCTTTCTTTCATCACAAGACACTTGTTTTACATTGTGATCACACAACTTCAAGCCTCTAGTTATTAAGTTTCTGTTTTGTTTCATGCTAAACAGTTCTAAAGACAGGTCTGCACTATCAGCTCCCTTCTATTGTTCCAAACTTCAGTTTCTTGGGGCATTATTATCAGTCACCCCCAGTCAATCTCTGCCATCACAGTAAACACCAACCAAATTGCATTACAGCTTCATACAGCTTTTTATAAACAGTCAAGTTAAAGCATAATAAGCATTCAGATAACAGACAGAATTATTGCACTTACATCTTGAAGAGTTCTTCCTCATCCTCTTCCAGAGTTTTTATTTCTTGCTCAGGAAGGGAAACTATGGGCTCAAAGTGAGGGTCGTGGTTAGAATCATCTGTATTTTCAGTAGAAGTATCGTGCTCCTCGTGTGCTTCCTGAGGAGAAAGAGAACACAAACAAATAACTATGCTGTGAACCTAAAGCCTGGAGTACTTATACCTGTATTTAAAATTAAAACCTTTATGACTTTTCAGCAATTAGATCTTAGTAACTGAAATACCCTGTAACAGTAAAGGAAAACTGAAAACAAGTGGCTTTCAAGTCAACATATGGTTAAAGTATGAAACAAAAAGGTGCTCATGCAGTGCTGGATGTTTTAATCCTACCACTCATAAATTGTGCAGAGGCTTGGCCTTGGAGCAATAAATCTTGGTTATGGAAAAGTAATTCCTTCAACCATTTCTCCTATATAATGTGTTTTATGCTACTAAAACCCTACTATTTCTTAGAGTCTAATGACCCATCACTAATGGGAAAAATAGAAAAAAATCCCCCACACCACCAAACCAACCACCTAACCCAGCTTAAGGGACACACTGCATCCCAAGTTCAGCATTCTGTTTTATGTATTAGAATCACCAACAGCCAAAGATATTTTTGAGCCACAGCTCTAAACCTCATGCAATAATTTAAGTTTTTTGCTTTAATACTCTTCGAGGAACTTTAGGTTATTGGTAAATGGCCAAACTACTACTGCCTATGTAAGTTCTTTAGGAATCTGTCATAGCATTCATTAAGCTTAAGAATAGTTTTTACTGTGTGACTAGTAGGTAAGTGATAAACATCTCCAGTGCTTCATACCTATGGGCTCCTGAGAAGCACTCACTACACAAGCCTAGAAGGGAGATTCATGTGCAAGTTTAATGAAGCCACAAAACAGCTATCTCGGGACAAGGGAACTGATTCGGGTTTGGCTTTTTTTGTTTCTTCTTGAATTACAGAAAAAGGAAAAACAGTCTATACATTGGGGACACTTAAATCCTACTTTTACTTTACAGATGAAGGAATCCACTCTTACAGGCTCTGTGCACAACATCCTTTACAGTGCAGGTATACACCACACGTACATAAAGCAATTGAAATAAAGCAGCTTATTTCTACTAAATAGTGAAAAAAAAAGGGGGGAGA